CCCTCTATCCGACAACGATCTGCTTCTTTTCTTGATGTTTCCAGTATCGGACGATGTTTTGATTCTGTCCATGAGCTTCTGTGGCTAATTCCACCAACGTGGACAGCACATTCCTTCTTTGTAGTCTGTTCTTAGCGGAGGCTCTGCTGAAACCTGTTCACTTTGGGTGCCCCTGCTGGCATCTGAAATTCAGGAGACAGAGCTTCTGGCATGCCAACACACAAGCCACCATAGTATGACACACCAGACAGACAAGTGGCGGAGCCAAAGATCAGATTGGCCTATAAAGTAAATACTAACACCAGGGAGGTGCACGGTCCTTAGGCAGATTGGCCATTTGAAATGAGAGGAGCAGGATTTCCCCGAGGGTAAAGTCCGTAAGGGTTAAGCAAAAAGGAGCATGGAAACAGAAAGCACGGGGAGGCCATGGGATCCGTGATGGGGACGCCATCAGTGAGGTGAACGGAAGGCCGGAAGACCTGGGTGAGTGAGTAGGGTTAGGGTTAGGGTTGAAAATGGACCCGTTGTGTAAACATTCCCCATTCTAATAAAAAACATTTTAAAACAGATTTTAAAAATAGATAATGTCTGGGAATTCCCTAAAATACAAAGGGAAAAATGAGTCCTCCGACTGAAAAGACCGAGTGTTGAATAAGAAAGTGAACCGCAGAGAGGCATCACCGTCAAAGAGTCCGTCATCCCAGGGGACGGGGAAAGCCCTCACGGTCTCTACCATAGGCACTGGCGTTACTGCGCGGTGAGCAGAAAACACGCTGGCAGCAAGACTGTCAGCAGACTGCGGAATAATAGCTAACGTCTGAGGGAAACTTTTAAACGATCAAGCCAAGGAAAACCAAAACTAAATCCACTGATTCCGACGCCTGCTGACATTCTAGACGAGAGCAGGGATGCCCGATAGGGTTTCCAAAGCTGGCATCTTTACGGGAGCAGACACACATGCGGGGGTTCTGAGAATGTAACGCTTTATGGGACCAGAGACTCCTCTTTCTCCCTCAGAACAGCTGATGGGTTTGAATCACTGACCAGAGCTTAATCCGACGATGCCACCAGAGCTGTTCGTACGCGCAACAGATGCACTTAAAATAGTGACAGAGAAAGTTTGAAAACACATTGGGAAAATATTACAAGATAAAGCTGCTGGGTTAATATTACTATGGGAAAAATGAGATTTAGTTTGGGAATAACATATGGGGATAGAAATAGTGATTAAAGATGAAAAATTAAGATAAAAAATCATGAATTTATATGCTGCTAACAATGTAACCTCAAAAGATGGAAAGCAAAAATTGACAGGATGTCAAGTGCAGTTATCAAATTTATAATCATAATGCATATTTCATCATACTAGTTAAGAGAGAAAAATAAAAATAGATCACATTAAAAATCTGGTAATGATTTAGGGTTTTATAAAAATTAATAAATCATTTTATTGGGGGATCTTACTGCTTTTATAACAATCCGTACAATTGATGTAGGTTTTAATCAGTTTACTAAAAATCTTGATCTATATAGAATCCTGCACGCACCAAAAGATAATCACATTTCTATGAATTAATCACATACTATAGACAAAGAAAGATATCATTCAACAAGCTCCAAAAAATGAATGTATATCAAACATATTTTCTGACTGAAATGCATAAGAATTAGAAATCAATATGAATTGGCTTCAACTTGGGGAGTTAGACAATAAAAATACACAGTGCCAAACCCCAAACTCTGCTTTAAATAATTCAAGGTCTTAAGAGAAATTCACATTGGAAAATTTAAGAGAATTTGCAATTGAGTGAGCAATACTGAAATCAAAACTGGCGGGATACAGCCAAGATAGAGTTTACAGAGAAATTCATAGCTTTAAATGCACTATGTTAAGAAAGAAGAATAAAAATTAAAGAGTGAAGAAGCCAGGTATGACATTATTACTTAAAAACAAATAAAGTAGAAGGAAGGAAATATCAAAATTAAATACCGAATTGATAAGACAGAAAACAACGAGACAGGAAAGATAGCAAACCCAAACTTGTTCTTTAAATAGTCTCTCACCTTACCCACAGACCTGGAGTCAGTGCCAACTCACAGCCCCCGACAGGACAGGGCAGAACTGCCACGTGAGTTTCTGAGACTGTAACTGTTTATGGGAGTAGAAAGCCCTGTCTTTCTCCCTCGGAGCTAGCTGGCGATTTTGAACTGCTGGCCTTGAAGATCGCAGCCCAATTCATAACCAATATGCCACCGGGGCTCCACTCAAGTAACCCAGTAGAGGGAAAGACTGATGCAGAAGAAAAAAGATGGCTCCAGGCAGCAATATTAAAAAAAAGAGGGCAAAGGCACAGATAAAGTGATGCTTGCTCTCAGGGTGTGAAGAAGCTTCAGAAATGGTAAGTACAATCCCCCCAAGACCTCTCCTGAGAAGCCTGCTTCATCGTGAGCCATGCTGACCTCGCACCAAACTGCCCTGCCTGTGGGATCCCACGGCCTTTCTTCTCCCAACACCTTCAGGCTTCCATGGGACACACCCCTAAAGAATCACAACCACAGGTCGCACATGCATACAGACACCCAATGCCCCCCCCCATTGTAAGTGTTCCTACGCAGACACACAGACTCTGAAAATAAACTTTGCATGTGTGCATGCATGAACATGCTCACATATGTGCATACATATACCCTCTCAGTGCACACGCAATGACATCGGCCACGCTCACACGAACACGCGCCCAACATGCTATCAGGAAACCCTCAATCACACTGTGTGCTTGTTCATGCACAGTCTGTACGTGTGTGAAGACACATTCGCCCAGATGAGTGCACACCTAACCAGTGTCACACACGTGCATATCCCCACCAACATGCTCACCTAGTACACCCACCCTGTGCCCAGACATATGTGTCCCTCTCAGGCCAGCAGGACATGTGGTCATACCTCCAGTTCCCTCAGCAGCTCTGATTGACCACATGACTCCAGGTCTTCGAGAACTTCCCCAAACACGTGCCAGAAGCCCTCCTCGCTGGTGGGGCCAGGAACTGGGCTGTAACGTAGGAACCAGACAGGGTCAACTCCTGGTGGGCGGGCAGGCAGGCAGGTGGGCGGAGGCCTGAGGACTCTTCAGGGCCCTAGGGCCTGGCGTTGGGCTCCAGGGGCCATACATGGGCAGGCGGGCAGGCGGGCGTCCTTGGTGGCAGTGCTGGGGCCCCAGGGCAGTGGTTGGTGACACGGAATGGGGGGAAGACGCAGTTAGGGGCAACCAGGACTGTTGGTGGCCAGTTAGAACAGGGGCAGATGAGACGGGGTGGAGATCGGTGACACAGGACGCCTGGGAAAAGAGACGGACGGACAGACAAAAGACAGACAGAGAGGAAATCCACAGTGTAACCCCAGCCTTGGCCCCACCCAGACACACAGGACAGTGACAAGTACAGAGCTGGAACCGGCAAGGACACGGATGGATGGGAGGGGGGCGCACTTGTGGTTGGGGGGAGGGGGGCGCACTTGTGGTGGGGAGGGGTCAAGACCTCCTCAGAACTTCTGTCATGTTGTCTGAGCCTGTGATCCATTCAAACAACCCAGTCTCTAGAATGGGAACGAGTCCCGCGCTCATGCTGGAAACACCATCTACAGGGTTCTTGACACTCCTGGAGCGCTATGGTTGGGAGAGCACATCCTCTTTGACAAAGGTCTCACTCTCCAACGGGACCCCCGGGAGCAGGATGGCAGAGCCCTCTCTGTCCCTTCCCATTGACAGAGACCACTGAGGCCAAAGGACATTCACTCCACGCAAGTCCGTTCTACAACCCCAGACCAGGTTCGCCCGTGAGCAGTGGGATGTGCAGGGAATGGAGGTGTGGCGGCTCCTGCGCTTGAGATCCTGGCGGTTCACGCATAGGCTGAATAAGTGCCCACGAGGGGCGGGCACTGAGCCTGGGTGCCACACAGAAGAGATGAGAGAGCCAGGCAGTCAGAGGTGCCACAAAGCGCCCACTGAGGCTGTGGGTACCGGGGAGGGAGGCGAGGAATCTGCTCCACTTGAGAAAGTTGGAGGAGCTCCCTAGATTGGAGCAGGGCCATCTGGGGGGGACTTAGGGTGGTGCCTTGGGGAATGCGCCAGGACTCTGCAGGGGAGGAGCTGGCCGGCCGGATGGACAGAAGAGCAGTCTCAGCAGAAGACAAATACAGAGATGGGAGAGGGTCGCCTGTTCCGCGCAAGCCTTCTTTCTAGGGCGAGGCTGAGTTGTGTGATGGCAACACTCAGAGCCAGGAGCTCAAGGCTCCTGGGGCAGCAGCCCGTCGTCCAGGGCCATCAAGCAATCTGGACCAAAGTGCGAGGAGGAGTCTGGGTTCGAGCTCTAAGCCTGCTGCCGTACTTTAGCGAGCAGGAGACTTTGAGACTTAGGAAGCCAAGCCAAACTACTTCTCCACCTCCCCACTTCATGCGGGCTGCTGTGGTCCCCCCAGTCTGCCCTCAGGAGCCAGGTGACATTCTTCCATCCCTCCCACCCTCGACCTAGCCAAGGCACCACGACTGCCTCCTCCCTCTCACAGCCTTCCCGCCACAGACCTCGTGGGTGGCTCCCAATCCTCCTCCTCCTCCTCTTCCTCAGGGAAGCTCTCATCTGCAGGGGCCTGGGTGTAGCTCCTCCTCCGGGGTTCTGTGGGTGGGGAGCTGCTCCTCAGGCAGCCAGGCCGCCACTCCTGGGGGGCCACACCCCGGGCTGCCGCCTGCGGGGTGTAGGAACCTGGCGGGTGGGAAGCAGGTTGTCTGTATCCCCTCACCTTGCCTGCTTCCGACGACATTCTCCTACATGCCAGGTGGATACCCAGACCCCCCACCCCCACCCTCCACCCCTCCAAGGTGTCTGCCCCATCCCAGGTCCTCCAAGTTCCCTCTCATCCAGCACATAGACCTAACTGGTCAGGTCCGGGACCCTGCCCAGGTCCACAGGGCGAGGCTGGGCTCCACTCCATGCCATTGGCATGGACTAACTGCACATGTACCAGGTGCCAAGCACTGGGCTGGGGCGAGGGGCACCACAGAAGTAAGGCTTGACGTGGCGCCTGGCTGTATGCTGGGGGGACCTGAACAGCCAGCCCTGCAACTGTGGCCATGGGACCCTGAGGATGGTAGCGGGTTCACGTGGCCCCTCCAGAATGGAGCTGACTAGGGGAGGAGTGGGCAGAGGGAGGAGAATATGGTGTTTGTCCAAGCGTTCCCAGGCATTACCTTGTCCTCCAAAACCGCCCTCTGTGGCAGAGCTGTCCCAGGACTCCACAGCACTGTCCACGCTGGGCACGGCGGGGGAGAACCGGGCTGCCAGCAGGCCCCCTTTGAGAGTCTCAGGCAGGTCCTCCTCAGCATCACTGGTCTCGCTGAGGCTGCCTGACTGACGAGG